ACTTAATAAAACTACGATAAATTTTCAATGATTCCAATAACTGTTAGTCTACTGTAATCAATTTCTTCCTTCTTTCTTCCTGCATCGTGCTTCTAGAGGCACGATGCAGGCTTTTTGAAGTTAGTATTGCATATCAACTTTAATGTGTTTACCAATGATTGGTAAGCACATTAAAGTATTGAATTCCAAATTGAGTTTAAATTAAACTAAATTAAGTATGCAATACTTGCATACCTAACGTCACTTTCTCATAATACCAAAAGTCACTTTCTGAAACTCATAATACTATTTTTCTGCGACTCACAGAAATATAACATTTAATGTCATTTTATGTCAGAAATAAAACAGAATTCACTTTTTTCAAAAAACACTTACTTTCTTATTATAAGACACAACTGTTACACTATTTCTTTGACGCAGAGGATGCCAATGAGCTTTTGCAAACTGTGCAATAAATTCTTGTGCTTCAGCTGCTGTTTGGAAGCATTGTCCCTTATGTAACTCCATTTTCTTTTTTTAATTTTAAAATGTTGATGATAAGTTTTAAATTTGTGTTTCACCGAGTTTTGCCTCGTTTTAAGTCGCTTGCCTCATCCTAATAAATTACCGCCACTCTAGCAAATTTCTCACCTTCAAGTGGCGGTATTTACCGCCGCAATAGATTTATTCATATATATATATATATAAATGTATATATATATATATATATAAATGTATATATATATATATATATATAAATATATATATATATATATAAAAATAGATATATACACACACACACATATATATATACATATATATATATATATATATATATATATATATATATATATATATATATATATATATATATATATATATATATATATATATATATATATGTTTATTTACATATATATATATATATATATGTATAAATATATATATATATATATATATATATATATATATATATATATATATATGTATATATATATATATATATATATATATAAATGTATATATATATATATATATATAAATGTATATATATATATATATATATATATAAATGTATATATATATATATATATATATAAATGTATATATATATATATATATAAATATATATATATATATAAATAAATATACACACACACATATATATATATATATATATATATATATATATATATATATATATATATATATATATATCGCAACCCTGTTTTTACTTATTGTTTTAAAAAATAGTCGGGTTATTTTTCACATTTATTAAAAGCTAGAACAGATCATTGTAATCTCCTAATAACTCGGGTTTTGTTGTATATTAACAGTTGAAAATCGGGTTTAATAATTTCATCAAACACAAATTTTCTCTGGCGCGCGTGCATAGGCGATCAAGTAATTTTATTTTTTTTTATTTTTACTATTTGTTCTTATAATTACAATTTAGGTTTACAATAAATTGTATAGTCATAAATTGCCTGTCAATCTGGTCTCATATAATATTTGAAAACTATTAAATTTTTATAACTAAATTAAAATAAATGCAGATTAGTCATAGAGAAACCATTCATTCTTGAAATGATTGTCTAGGAGTAGCTTAAATAATTTTAGTGATATAGCGGTTACAATCTCATTCGGAAGACAGTTCCATTTATTAACTATTTTTAGAGAGAAAAAGTTAATGCGTAAATTTAATCGGGAAGAATGCTTTTTTAGTTTATAGATATGACCACGAGTAATAATTGGCTAACAATTTCCAATAGACTTCTATCACCATTGTCTTCTTTGCACTATTTATAAACGTTAATAGCTCTGCGCGAAGTAGCCTATATTTATTAGTTGTCATATATAGCGCTAATAATCTTTGTTTATATGGTAGATCATATAACCCTTTAATTCTTTTTGAAGCTCTTCTTAAAACATTGTCTAATTGTCGTTTGTCTTTGTGAAGTATAGGGTTACAAACTGTTCCACACTATTCTATGTGAGGGCAGACTAGAACTGTAAATAGTTTTTTGAAGGATGATAAATCTGGATAAAATGTAAATGTTCTTTTTATTATTCCTATTATTTGTGTTGCTTTGTTAACTTGAATTGTTGTGTGTTTGGAAAATAATAAGTTTGAATCTATGTGAACGCCTAAATCTCGTTCGCAATTTGTGGGTTTTACGTTTACTCTTATATTTTGTTCTGGATTATGCATATTATATGTATGGGATTTGTTGTTGTGTCCTAAGTGTATTACAGAACATTTATCAATGTTAAGTTTCATTCCCCATTTTTGAGACCATAAAACAAGAGCGTCAATGTTATTTTGTAATTCTTACGCAGATTGGGTACTTTCAATAGATCGGAAGATTTTTGTATCATCAGCTAAAAGAGCAGCTTTTGATTTGATTAATTCAGGGATATCGTTGACATATATAATAAAGGGTAACGCTGAAAGGACAGAGCCTTAGGGAACTCAACTTTTAACAGACACCCAGTCGGAATAATTACCGTTTATAACAACTCTTTGTCTCCGGTTTTCCAAAAAGTTTGTTATTTAATATAGTATTGAACCATTTATATCATAAGCTTTAAGTTTAGAAATACGAAATTTATGTGGAACTTTGTCAAAGGCTTTTTCAAAATCGAGTTAATGTTGTCGATGGGGGTATTCTTCTCAAGTGATAATGTCCAATAATTAATTACAGTTAGAAGGTTAGTTAAGCAGGAATGACCTGGACAAAGTCCATATTGGTGTGGACTAAATAAGTTATTGCTAATCAGGTGTGTCATAATATGTTTTTTTATAATTTTTTCAAAGATTTTTATTGAGGTACAAGTTATACTGATAGGTCTATAATTAATTGCTTTAGATCTGTCTCCTTTTTTGAATATGGGTGAAGTTTTCGATTTCTTTTTTTGATTCTAATAAATCAATTTTTTTTATAAGACGTTGAATGGTTTCATTCTGATCACGTTTAATATCGGATAGTTCCGAGCAACTTACTTTACCTTGTTTAATCATGAATATTGCGATTTCGTCGTGTCAATTTTAGTGAAATTAGGATTATACAAAAATAATAATAATATTCAACAATTATAAAAATAAGTAACAAAAAATTTATTAAGCAATTGACAGCAAGAAAAATATAAATTAAAAAAAATTACTAAAATATATAAAATGCAACTAAGAAGTCTTCCATATAGAGCAAAAGTAAATAATTGTGCAAAATACAATAAAAATATATATGCTAAAAACGTTGTAGACTTTATATAAAAAAGAAAAACTTACACACAAATTTTTTTTTTTTTTTAATCAAATAAGGATAATATAAAGCTGTAAAAAAAAAAAAAAAAAAATAGAAATATAACTTGGAAATAGAGAATATAATAATTTAGAAAAACAAAATAATGATAATAAATTTAATAGATTTAAGAAATTTATATCTTACGCTGAAAAAACACGTCTTATCGCTTTGAAAGCGGAAGTCGTATTGTAATGGTAATTGCATGGGCGAGTTAACGAAATTATATATGCAGGTAAAATTATATTGGTCTAATAAAAACTGTATATGACGGTTATTATATTTCACTATGTTGAGCAACATTATCTAGTGATTATAGAAGTGAGTTAGTTAGGTTCCTAAAAGGGTAGGGGTTGACTTGAAGGTGAAGGCTCTTATGACGGGGTGGCCACGCCTCCTAAAAAATCCTAAAATGTCCTAATATTTGAAAAACATTCTAAATAGACCTCATTTTTCTAAAGTGAAGGTGCTTTTTTTTAATTCTCCTAAATCCTCCCAATTTAATTGTCCTGATTTTAATACATAAACTATTGTCACCAAACAACAATAAAGTTAATGAAATGGTTCAGACTTGGACAGAGTTAATGTTGTTGTAGTATACTGACAGAAAACTTACACAAATGT